GGCAAAATCAGACAAGGATGAAAATGGAGGGCATTAGCCAATGCATTTTTTGCAGAGCAAGACTCCCAAGGTCTTCTCTAGGGCAGCCTGTCCTTGCAGCCCTCTGTGGTGTCTCCCCATCTGGAGATTGCTGTCTTAACCAAGGCCTTTCCACTTCTCGGCAAACATCTCCATCTGTTTCCATCAGCAGTTCTCTGAAATGCCCACAGATTTTTCTTGCTGTGAGGAGGAAAGTTTCTCTTTCCACTGGCAGACTTCCTCCTGGTCAGCTGAGTAATGCTCTCCACAGGCCTGCTGTCCTGTTTGGAAAGAGGTCCTTTCCAGCCAGGGCCTAGCTCCCAGCCAGCTGCAGGCCTTGCATGTTCCTGGCAGCGTGGGCCCCTTCCTGGCCATCAGTAACACGTACAACTCTTCTCCATAGTCAGCTTTTACCTCCTAGCCCCCAACCTTTCCCTGCTCACAGCCTCCCAGAGGGGTTTTTCCTTTCCTTGCAGTCCTTGTCGATGTGCTCAGCTCACCTCTCTTCCTCCTTCTCCTCTGTTCACTTTATCCATTTTGTATGAGGCTGGGTTTTCTGAGTTTGGCAAATATTGCTTATTGACTTCCAACAGAAAATATTAGCAAGTGTTATCTGGTATCTCTACAAGAGCAAGGGTTTTTACCACAACATCCTTCAAAAACATTACATCTGCCGTGTCTTATGGCAAGCAGTGCCGGGTCCCATGATTTCCTAGGCACCGTTCTGGCAGGAATTTATTTCAGTGGGATTTATTTCCAAAGGAGGGGGCAGCAGAAAACATCATCAGCCAGGCATACAAAAACAATTTGAGAGCTTTTCTTTATAAAAACATAATGCCTGGCTCAGGAAATCTCTGAGCCGAGGACCACTAGGGCCTGAGACGTTGTTGGGGATGGATATCACCATTTAGAATGGCACAGGACTTGGGGCAAAGCTGGGAGATCCCAGGGGCAAAGCTGGGAGATCCCAGGGGCTGGAGTTTTCCCTCTTACTCCTTGGAAACCCTCCTTATTGACATAGGGCATGGAGTTGCTACTTAAAGCCGAAATAAGCAAATGAATTCTTTAAATAATTGATTTCCTACGGGGTGCCTCATTTCCTACTCTTTGAAAGCAATACAGCTGAGTTTTAGCTATGTCACTTTTCTTACACTAAAATCATGTCATTCGCAAAGAAATGGGGCCTTCAGCTGGAATGTGTTTCACAGACTTCTGTGCTTTCAGTTTCTCCTCTTATACCAGATGGGTTTTCTTCAGTTTTCCCAGCATGTTGCATGCAAAAAAGCACAATACTCCACATTAACCATTTAGTTCTATTCCCCTTTGTTTGCTTGAAGAAAAACTCCAAAATTGCCCTTTTGATAAATAGGCATTGAGAGGCTCTTGGAGTGAACCAGTGGTTTTGCTCTCCATAGTGGACTTCAGCAGATGGTGGAAGGGGTTGTCAGCTAATGCCAAATGCCAGTGCAGTGCCCAGATTGTGGGCACTGCTCCGTACGCTGCAGCAGACTCAATTTAGGTGGAGAGAAGAGACAACAGAAAAAATCTTTATAATAGTGGGTTTTTTTTTGTTGTAAATTATTTAAAAATTCCGTTCTTGTTTGCTGATCATGCAGAAATATCTTTGCGAATTGTTGAATACCCTTAAACAAAGTATATGTAGGTAATGCCTTCCTATTGCATGTTTGTTCATCAAAGAATCTTACAAAATATGATGGCTTTTATTTGCTAGAAGTATAGGAGGTCATCGTGTGAGGAAAAAAAAAAGTGTCTTTATCTCCTTTATCTCTTTTACGTAAGTGTTTTTTTGCAGCTTCATTTTACCAGATTGTTTTCTTTCTGGCATCCCATGATAGGAGGTCTCAGTGGGCTTCTTGGTGGGATTTCTCTTCTGAGGCTTTGTAGACATGAGATCAAGGTGGAGATGATGTAGATAAGTTACACCCATCTGCTAAAGGCCTCACTGTTGAGTGGTCAAACTGTAGTCTTGTTTAACTGAATGGAAGTTTTGCTCTCGTAGTTAGTCCATGTGTGTTCTTATGAATACATGCAGATGCAAGAAAGGCACCATAACTGTCCAACCATTTTAGTATGGTTCCATTTCCATGGGAATTATGGCTGGAAGCAGCATGATGAGTCATGATATTATGTTACATCTGTTTTGTTCCCAGTGGTATCAGAATCTAAGATGTCTCTCTATTTGGTCTATTAATTTGTTTTTCTGAACGTTTGCAGAATTGTAACATCCCATTTTTGCCAAAACCTCAGCTTGGCAGACTTCATTTTTCAATTCCATTTGTTCTTCCACCACCCTTTGTGGATTTTTCTTCTCATGTACTGCCTACTCTGGGTGCTCAATGGTGTACTCAACTAGTGAACATGTCACATACATCTGTATTTAAACATAAGCTGTATTTCTTTTCTCTTAATTTTGGCCCAGGCTAGGTTTTGCTCTAAAGTAAGTATTACAGTATACTAAATGCTTAGAGTATAGTATAAGCATTTAAATTGTTGTGGTTTGTGTTATGATTACAGCGTTGTCTTGGTGATACAATTTTTGCATGAAAAGTCAAGGTTCACATGTGTAACTCTTACAAATCCTGCAAGGCCTGGGGTGGGTCAATTAGTCATACATTTTATAGCATCCCACATACAATAAGCTGTTTTTAAGTCTTAATAGTGCACAATGCTAAACAGCATTTGCTAGGAAGCCTCAGAAAGTGCTATTCTGCAAAAAAATAAAAAAGAGAAGGGAGAAATAAGTAGTCAGGCTCTAAAATAACATTCTCTTTGTCCCTTGTTCATGTTGGCTGTGCAGTGACAGTGCAACACACCCATAATGTTTAATAGGTTTGTAGGAGAATCACTTATGGGAGTGGGGCATTACCTGAGCTGTATTCTCAGTGGTCTTCGAATGTGCAGCGTGTTAACGAAAACACTTTGAGACAATCTTTGGGAAAGACCATGTCTGAAAGCAGTGGTTCAGCTACGGCTAAAGGAAGTGCCTTTAATTTTTACACTTAATAGAATATCCAGTAGCATTCAAAGGTCTGGCAAAACACCCTCAACTTGGTTGCATGGTGAATTTGGCTAATGGACCGTGGTCGTGTGCTTGCAGGCTCCCCTATTCCCATTTGCTTCCCTGGCTAACAGGCACTGCCCTTCCCCACCTGGGACTAGTCTCAGCTGGCCAGCTGCCATTGCAGTTCCAAAAGTGGCTACGAGCTGAGTAAGAAATGGTATATCCAGGCTGCAAGCTGCTGCCAGGATGACATAGAAATACTGCACAGTGCACAGTACAATATAATCTTTGTCATTAAAATCCCATCTATTTTTTCCTTTCATTATACCATGGAGCTTATGAATATGTGACACATAACCTTGGGTATAAGCTATTTTCTTACTTTCTTGATTCAGGAAATTTTGTTCTAGAAGGATTATTTTCTCTTTATGAAGAATAGAATTGTAATAGAAACGGAATATTTAATCTTTAACAAGTTGGGAAAAAAAAATGACTGAGCTTAATAACAATTGTTGTCTTTCTTTCCTGTGCATATCCAGTCCATGAGTCTCATAGAGATTGGGAACCCTTCCCAAAGCCTGGAGAACGTGTGTCGCTGGGCCTACCTGCAACAGAAACCTGACACTGGGCACGCAGAATACCACGACCATGCTATCTTCCTCACAAGGCAGGATTTCGGTCCATCCGGCATGCAAGGTAAGATGGGCATCAGTTTTTAGCATCTAAATTCAAGACTTGTGAGCAGCATTTCTGTTCATCATTTAACAAAGCTGATTTTGCAAGGTCTAACCGTGCTTCCTTTGCTTAGTTTCGGGCAACACTGTTTTTTTCTCCCTAGAGCTCTGCACATGGCCATTTTCTTTTGTAACTCTTTCAGTTATTATTTTATCCTTTCTAACTAATAGAATTATTTATTGGATCACTTCTTTGCTCTTATTGAAGCCAAACAAACGGGATCCCTGTGTAAACAGTCCTGAAATTTCCCAAAGATTAAAGAATGGACTCTGTGTTTAAAAAGTCTTCAAATAACTGTTGTGGTGTTCCAGCAGGATGGCCAAGAAATACTCTTAGAGAGGCCTGGAACAGTAGGACCGAGTAAAGTCCCCTTTTTATCCCAGCAGGATGGCCAAGAAATACTCTTACAGAGAGGCCTGGAACAGTAGGACCAAGTAAAGTCCCCTTTTTTTTTCTGCTTTTTCCTTTTCTTAGGGTTCTGCATCCTTTGAGATGAGGTTTGCTCACTGGAGGTGATAAATCTCTGGGCTTTCTGGTTCCATTTGGGTTGTCCGGGTCTGCTGGCAGCCCAGGGCTGGTGCTTTGCTCACACATTCCCGAGGGCTGGAATTGCACCCAGCTTTTGAGCTGGCACACAGCAGCAGACAGTCGTCTTTCCTCCTTTGCCTCGTGTGCTTGCAGGAAACCAGGTCCAGAATGGTCCTAGAGGAGAAAACAGCATCCTGGTGAACCATGAATATAGTATAATTTGTTCAACAGGCCAATTCCATATATTTTTATAGATGAGGGAGCACATTATTAAAAGTTTGGGGCAGGGGTCCCTTGTTACCTTCCAGAGGAGAGCTTCAACTGTGCGTGTGTGTGCCCCAGCGGGAAAGGCAGGGACATCTGTGCTCCAGCTTCTCAGCGCTGCCTTTTCTGCTCTCGTCCATTCCCTGGCACGTGCCCTGTTTCCCACAGGCTACGCTCCGGTCACTGGAATGTGTCATCCTGTCCGAAGCTGCACGCTCAACCATGAAGATGGCTTTTCATCTGCCTTTGTGGTGGCCCATGAAACCGGACACGTGTGAGTACAACTAGGGATATCCTCTATCTTACCTCCTGGTATCTTTGGCACTGACAGATACCTGTGACATTGGTAAAACACAGATTATATTAAGAAACAACATTCCGGGCTAGCCCTATGTTCAGTTCTCAGCGCTCTCATGGCTTTCTTTGTGATCTTAGGTAAGCCTTGTAATCACTTGGTGTTTTGCTCTTTTCAAATGGAAAAAGGAACTAAGACCAAAATACTTCCAAGGCCTCTATGAGGCTAGAGTCAGTGATATATTATAGTCTCCTGGTGGAAATGTGAAGTATTTACTTTGATGAAATATGAATTCTTTGAGTCAGTGGAATACATGATTCATCTATAGTAAATAAACCCATCATGTGTGTAAGTTACCACTGCTGGAGAATACCATGCTATATAGAAACAAGGTGCCAAGCACTGACGTTACAACTATTCTGTTTATTTCATATTAAAAATGCAATTATTTTGTTTAGGGATGTGATTAGAACTGATGGCAGTCAGTAGCTGTTAGAGCTTTGGTTTCTTCCAGAGCGTATTGGTTTCTGTGTTTGCAGAGAATGCTCACTTATTTCCCACTTTTTTCTTGATAGAATAACAGTTTGCAGAAAACTTTCCCCAACAGTTTCAATCTATTATATTTTCCCTAAGAAAGTCTTCAGGCAATTTCCTGTTTTTTTTTTTTTTGTCTGAAATTATTTAAACAAAAAGTGTTGCTAAAATCTGTAAAATCTCCCAGTGTATATATCTTAATTAGACAGGGTTGTAGAATTGATACCCAGATGGTATTTCATTCCAGAATTTTGCATTAGGATTAAAAAGAATATGCAATCAGGTTTGAAGAGATACCACTGAAGATTGCTTGTGACCTCTGAAATCACACTGAGCTCCACTCTGTTAGTATAGATTAATTTAAGGAATGATATCTCCAATTTAATCAAAGCATACCCACAGGAAAATGTAATATGAGATCCTAACAAAGGAAAGGAAAAAATATATTCACAATGCAGCCAAAAAGGAATTTAAAGATACCTGTAGCTTGGAGTAATTTTTTAAAAGCACCAACACTTTTTGTGTGTGAAATAGGCTGAAATGTGGAACTGCTGCTGGGCAATAGCAGGAGTGAGTCTAAACTAACTCTCCATGGGCCTTTTTTTATTCCCCACCAAGGACAAGTTCACAATTGGACATTAATTCAAATGAAGCTAATGTGTGCTTTATTTATTTGTTTAAGTCAGATAAGCACTGAATTGCTCTGGGTGGGAGTAAAAACACATGTCTGTTAATACTCTTGGGGAGTAGAGTAGATCCTTAATCTGGAAATGGATTCATTTAGACAAAGATATTCACAATTGCAGATATGTGTAGAGAAGTCCCAAGAAGGCATTTTTAGTGTTCTTGGAAAGTAAATTAAGTTAATCACGTGGAAGCATTTCAAAGGGTAAGTGCTTCTATATGAGAGCTACTACCGACGAGCCTTATTTCTCCTGCCTCTCCCCCCAGGCCAAGGGTGGGGATGCGTCAGGGTGGCTGTCCCCACCGCTGGTGGCGTTTGGTGTGTGGAGGCCCTGGGACATCCCCGCGACCTAACGGCGCTCGCTCTCTCCGCAGGCTGGGCATGGAGCACGACGGCCAAGGGAACAGATGCGGGGACGAGGTCCGCCTGGGCAGCATCATGGCCCCGCTGGTGCAGGCCGCCTTCCACCGCTTCCACTGGTCCCGCTGCAGCCAGCAGGAGCTCAGCCGCTACCTCCAGTGAGTACCTGTTAAGCTGCCTCTCTCCTTTGCCTCCGAAGCACATGGGAACAATCCTGCGTGTAGCCTTTTTGCATTACGCTTTTATCGGTCACTCAAATGTAGATAAATAAAACAAAGAACCTTTCCCTGGCCCTTCCTGTCATAGCAAGATGCTTCCCCAGCAACTGCAAGTTATAACGCCATTTCCCAATTGCTTTGCTTTCAATTCACTGTGAATTGTCCTCAGTGCATTTAATTAACTGACATCATTAATTTTCTCCAAGTTGACCGTATGTAGTCTTTCCTCCCTGGATTTACAAGGAGGCCCTGTTGCCAGCCTTACCCTAGCCCTGCTCCCTCCCATAGCTGCTCGCACAGGGGTGCCTCTGCTCCCACTGATGACTATCAAGGTTGGCCTGAGCACTTCATTGCTCACAATTCCTGCCACTGCTAAGATGGTGCTGCTTAAAGGGGAAGGTGCTGCTCTTCATAAACACTCAGAGCTTTAAGATATATCTAAAGAAAGTGTACGGTTCTGGACTTTTTTTTTTAAGCAGTTACACTTAAATACCCTAAACGCAAAAAAAAGTTTTACTTTCCAGTCCTCTTAACAGTTTTATCCATGTCCCTTCCTTCCCTTTGAACATGATCCTTCAGTCACTGGACGTGCATCTGAGTTCCCTGACAAACTTTCACTGTACGGTCATAGCATTGCTCCTTACAGAACAGATCTTCCCCTTGTCAGGTGTAAGATGCATAACAAAATAACAGGGAAACTACTAGCAGAATACACAGAAAAAATAGATAATGTAAATGCAGCAAAATGCCTGAAATAAAGAGTCGGTCTTTTTTGTCAATATTTTATTATCTTAGATATCTTAAGTATGGGAATAAAGACTAAACTTATTATCAGAGATATGTGTGTTTCGGTTAGCAAGATCCTTTTGTGCTTTATCTCTTAAATAAAAATCATCTGGCCTAGAGGATTGCTTTACATTCTTTTAAGTGCAGCTCTTTTTAAATATAAGGTGAAAGACAGTTTGCTTTGAAGTAAGTCTAACCTCAAAATTCTGCTTTCAGAATAGACTTGTGTATGGCATCCTCGTGTATGTCAAATAACTTAGAGACATTTCAGAGACATTGCAGTTTTCCTTGCACCTTAGCCAGATTTGACTCCAGTTCATACACTCACTGTTTAAGACTGCAGCAAAATCCCCCAAGTTCATCACACAGAAAGGGAGCTTTGTAGAAATGTCATCTGGAACCAAGGGACAGAGACAGGGGACAAGTCCAGGTGTTTAATGCAGGCTGAAGGGGGATCATGCTTGTAAAAGAGTCCCTGCTTCTCTGCAAGGCCACGGCAATATTGCAAGCTTAGCAGTATCTTGGCTTGTAAAATTTGACTTGAAAGACAGTTGCAGGCAAATAGGTTCCACAAATGGAAAATTAATTAAACTTTCGTTTCTTCTTGGTCTCATCTGGGTTCTTCCTTTGATTCCTTTCACAAAGGGAACTGGAAGCCGATACGAATTTACCTGCAAGCAAAGTGAAAATTACAATGGAAAGGCTTCAGGAAAAAAATAATATAGAATCTATTAAAGGTGGATACAACATGATTAAGTTTATGTGGGCATAACTGCTGTATTAACTGCTTTATGCCCAGTGTCTGAGAAATTGTAGGCTGTGTTTTGTTTGGAACAAAAAGGCACCGAAACCACAAACACCGTGCAGGTCTCGCAGCCCCATCTGTTACTGTAATTTTTGCCTGTTGCAGTTCCTATGATTGTCTGCGTGATGATCCTTTCGAACATGACTGGCCTTCCCTTCCTCAGCTGCCAGGAATTCACTACTCCATGAATGAGCAGTGCCGTTTTGATTTTGGTTTGGGCTACATGATGTGCACAGCTGTGAGTACTTAGCTTGGCTTCTGATATTTTTCATGCAGGAGTATTTTAAGTGTCTCTGAAATAGGGTCTGTATAGTGAAGCCCCACAAGGAAAGTTATTGTTCCCACTTAACTTTAAACAAGAAATAACAGCTGAATGTTGACAAATAAGCTATTTTAAGTATCTCCATATTTTTTTTAAACTGAAGTTACAGGAATTATTATGCCGTAGTTTCATACATAGTGCTAGACTTCAGGCAAACAAGCTTGCTTTACTACTGAGCCTCTTATCACTGGCAGCTAGATATTTTGTTACAGCACTCTGAACAAGAAGGAGAAGGATTTAGTGTCACATCTTGTACTGTTAATACAGGGTGCTCTGCTTTTATGTTCCAGTTTTATGGGAAGTATGATGCATTTTGATGCTTAGCATGTGCAAATAAGCGTGACAGCGAGTAGCGCATTTTGCAGGGACCCTTAATGATACGGTTGGCTCTCTTCTACCGGGAAAACAAGAGACAAATAAATTTGAAACAAAGCAAGATTAGAGCAAGTTCCAGTAGATTGGTCTCAGAGAGAAGACAGAAATATTAAATGGAAAGGGAAGCTTTCAGCTGGTGTGGCAGCTGTTAACACATAACTTTGGTTCTCAGCTGCAGCAGTATGCAGGAGGAGGAGTGTCTGCAGGTGACAGATGAGAACCTCTAAAGCATCAGCTGTAGGGCTATGTCTGGACACAGTTTCCACTGAGGCTGCCTTGGGAGGATGTCCCTGCTAGAGAGGGGCTGCTCCTCTAGCAATGCCTCCATAAAAGGGCAACTTTTAATCCTTCTTTATTCAGAATAGCCAAGAGCATGTGGAGGCATCAGATTTTAACATATTGTGTGATGGGCAGTTCTCATTTTCTTGATGCTTTGACATCAATGCTGTCAAAGGACAGATAAAACACTAAATAGGATCAGGATCCAATGAACGAGGAATCAGATTTCCCTCCTCAAAGAAAGTGATAACAACAGTGGAGCTATGGTCTGAGTAGCTTGTTTCCTCCTCCCATGGGGACTCAAGTATTACCTGTCTTGCTTGCCAAATGAAGCAGGACCATTGGAGAAGCTGTAAGAAAAGTCAGTGTGGTCCACCCAGGGTAGCCAGCTTCTCTCATCCAGCCTGCCTTTGGCTGCTGATATAAAATGACTTTTGAACGGTATTTTTCTTTCAAGTGTGGGCAGAATCTCTCTTTGAAGTCGTTGATGGTTTTGCATGAAAGTGGCCTTCGGTTCTGCTCAGTCCACAGCCACGCCGGTGGAATCAGTGGTAACATCTGCCCTTTTAAAGCTAGAAAAGGGAAACCCCACCGTGCTGCAGGGTTTCTGGCAGGGTTCGCAGCGGGTGCTCCCCGCAGCAACGTCCACGCTGACTTCTCGTGTGTTTCAGTTCCGAACGTTTGATCCCTGCAAGCAGCTGTGGTGCAGCCATCCCGAGAACCCCTACTTCTGCAAGACGAAGAAAGGGCCTCCGCTGGACGGGACCATGTGCGCCCCAGGGAAGGTGAGAGCAGCTCTGCGTGTGTCCACTCAGCCGTCCGACTGTTTGTAGGGAATCGAGGGCAAAAAGACAGGATTCCTCCTCCTGATTTCCTGCTTCATTCTTACAAGCACAGAAAACAGAGGAATGGAGAATGATTTCTTTTTTTCTCCATAAGGCCTTTGGGCAAGTCTGAGAGCTGCGTTAGGCCTCACAAGTTCTCAAGTCTCTTGGAGAGAGATGTAGTTGATTTTACAAAAGAAAAACTTATATGAGGATGTGAAATCAGCTAAAAAGATGTGGGGAAAGTGCAGGAGTGCCAAGAGGGCGGCTCTGCGCGTGGGGAGAGGAGGCAGGGGCTGGGCTGAGGCACTGGCCACCGAACCCAGCGCTGTGGCCAGCGCGGGGGCTCGCGCTTTGCTTCGGAGCAGGTCATCGCAGCAGAGCCAGAAAGGGGGGTTTGTCCTGGCAAAGGACTCGTGTGAGGTCTAGGAGGGGCTGCGTTTCCATGCGGGATGCTGCTCTTCCCAGCGCGGAGAGGCCACGGGGACTGATGGAGCTGAGGCCGCTGAATGTGGCCCGGGGGGACGGTCTCGGTTACCTGCGTTGGAGGTGGGAGCGGAGGGCGCTCACGCTGTGCTCCGACCCCCCAGGCCTTGGAGGCTCCCACGGGCTCAGCCCTCACGGCGCTTTCCATGATCCAGGGGGAGAGGAGGGTGCTGGAAAGGCCTTTTATAGACCCCAGTGGGTCACATCGTTTCTAGGACAAATGAACCACGTTAGCAGCTGCCATTACTGGGTTTTAACATCTTTTTTTAATGAAAACACAGTGTAAGGCTACATTCAGTCCCAACAAGCCCTGAGCTATGCAAGCCATTCCCTTTAATTTTTCTCTTTTTCAGGTTATTCCTGTTAAAACAGCTTTGTTGCTGGTGTGAAAGTGTATGAATACAAATCAAAACTACAGTCCCAAATCTTAGGTAGTTTATTTACACTGACTTGCACCAGTTTTCTGTATCTTGATTTTACATTAGAAGTGCAGATAAAGGTCCAGAAGGATACTATTATGTTGCATTTTCTTGCTTCATTTACCAACTTTTTATTTTTTCATATGAGTATTTGAGTAGAAAGAAGAAAGAACTTACAAGCGTACAGTTAAGGATCAGTCAGTGCTTCCATTATAAACAGTTTGTCAGGATATTATGCAACTGAGCTGTAAAAATTTTCTCTGGACGGGAACTTGGGATCCAAGGTTTTGGCTAACTGTGCAGGCTGGCCAGGTTTTTAGTTAGTGGAGATGTGAGGGAGTGTGTGCACATCCTGAAGGTTTAGTAGATGATAGAACTGTAACTGCTTTATTCCCATAGGGGCTGTCCCCTTTTTTATGATAGACTTAGTACAACCTTCCAAGGCAGCCTAAGAAATTAATACAAAATAAAAACCATTTTGTTAGATAAGACTCCAAAGATTGAGCCAAATATATTTTTTTAAATAGCATGAGTTATAAAGTGCTACTATTAACTTTGTATTTCCAAGCTCAACATTTGACCAATATTTTTATTAGAAGTTGCTGGTCTTTTTGAATACAGATAAATCAGATTATTTTCTTTCATCTTTTCTTTGCCTTGTCATCCCTGCCTTGATTTGACCTTTCTCTGTTCATTCTCTTCATCCATTTGGACAATACCAGAGACTCTGAAGCAAAAGGACTGTGCCTGTAAAATGAGTGCGTTGCAGAAGGTAGGGACTCAATTTCCCTGTGGCCATTTCCTTTAAGATACATTTCCCATGATATCTCAGCAGCACTTGAGAAAGAGGAAAAAAACCCACAAACTTGGTTGACTATTTTGTTTGGAATAACGCCAGAGGAGAACTGAACAGAAACATAAGCAATTAAAGATGTTGATTCAAAAAGTCCCATTTGCTTCCCACTTAGAGACATGTAGTTATCGTGATTTCATACCACTAATTCCCAGTGCCTATTTTAAGCTGAGACCAATCAAAACACTGCTGATGTGTCCAAGAAACATCCTGGTGTTGCCGCAGGCGCGAGACTTGATGCCAGAAGTGGAAGTCGTGCTCTGGGGCCTGACCCGGCTCGCTGTGCGTAGCTATTTTCACCTAAGCCAGGTCTCAGATAGCTGATAACCGGGGGCTTCGCTTTTCCAAACTTAGCTGATGCTCCCGAGGAGAGGCCAGTCCAGCCTGCCCTTTTCCCAGCTGAAGCTCAAGGGGCAGGAGCACCCTTGGAGACCCCCTGTTTGTGTCTCCTGGTCACGGAGCGTTACAGAAAGATTTGACTTTTTAATGCTCTGTATGTGTTTAGGCGTGTGTGTGTATGTATGTACATACATGCACACTTGTGCCTTTATGTAAATATATGCAAGCTTTGAGCTCCTGATAGTTTTTAAGGATGCTCTCTTATCTATTAATTTTAATGCTTTTGTATAAACTCACTATGAAGGTAGTGATTGCTTGCAAGAATTTGCCAAAAGAGGGAGGTTCAAAAACTTTTTAATAAATCTCCTTATGCAAATGAAGGTATTTAATAACCAAATACATTAAGTTGATTGGCCACAAACTAATAATTTGCTAGATTTACTGGCAGTAAGATAAGTTATTCTCTTGGCTTGTGCCTTCCCAGACAGAGAAGAAAGTCACTATACGTATTTTTGAAGGGAATATATAGAATATTTTACAATGCTTTTGACCTGATTTTTTTTTAATCAGATTAAGATTTAAATAGGAAGAGGAAGTCTGTATTGATTTTTCTGAAGCTATGATGGTGCAGTGACTTACAGTTAATTCTCTGCATTCTGGATGGTCATATTGACCTCCAGGAAATAAGTCCAGTGTGTAAAGGTAACTCCAGCCTGCAAAGCCAAGCACAGGTAAGGTCAGATTCTCAATGTGAAGTGAGATACGCTTCAGAAACTGCTGTGGTAAAACATGCAAGTAAGGCATAACTGCAAAGCTTAACTCTTTGCATAGCTAGGGATTAAAAAATCGTCTGCTTTCAACCGATGATTTATTTATATGTATCCAATTCTGTAAACTCTACTCTTAGTCACAGGCTTCTTAAGCCAGGGAACCTTTAGAAACATATCACCAGTTTTTGTTCTGTTTCTTAAACTATGACTCTTCTGGGGAGACGTTTATATTGGCTGAAGTAACTCACTGCTTTCCGTGAGAGAGGAGTAAAAAACAAAGTCACTCATGCAAGGCGATTGCAGACTAGAGCCCATCTGCTTGCTGCAGTGACTAATGCAAAGGTTTACCCCACCTGACCCTCCTTTCTTCCCTTTTCCTGCGGAGAGCTAAGAACCCCCAACCTTCCTGGGTCAACTGAGCTGATGTTGCTCTTCAGTTTGACGCCTGTGCCCAGGGTCCAAGCACATACCCAGCAGTTCTCCTGCCTTTCACAGTTTTGTTGACATTATCTGAGTTGAACTTGGAGATGTTTTTTGTCTCAACAGGAAAAGAAGGGATTGATTAAATATTGAAATAAAAAGATACTGTTAAGAAGAAAAATGGACCAAGAAAAAAGGTACACTAATGTGTGCTCAAAGCAATCCAGATAATTTCCCGCTGAGAAAGCTGACCTCAGCTTCTCTCGGAGACAGGAGACAGATGGATAAGTGTATGCTGTGTTAGTCACCACAGAAACAGTGAGAATACTTGATTCTCCACACCAGAAACTTTTACTGGCTTGCAGGGTACATTTTACTGTTACGGCTCTCGCTTTATCCCTTGCAATTAATTATTCTTAAACAGATGGAGCTGAGCAGGCCAGCCTGCATCCGAGGGGAATATAAATAAATAAATAACCTTCTCCTGGTAGGATCTACCAGCTGTAACCCACTGAGAGGAGCTACCTGGCAGGTAACTGGGCAAGCAGTCAAGGAGATGCAGCAAAGGGCTGACAGTTGCTGTCTGATGTAAAAAGTTAGAGATACCAGAAGAGAAGGAAGATTTCTTTAAAAATTAATTCACAGATGCTTTAAGCCCATAGGAACACACTAGCTCTTGTTTTGGCCTCTGCAGCCGTTGTTTCAAAGAACTGCTGAAAACAGCAGTGGAATGTTTTACTGCAAGAGGTTTAAGCTTCCTCTCCTGGAAATTGCACTTGTTTTGGACTGTCCTGTTTGCCAAAAAAAAGGCGAGAATACGAGAAGTCATCTTCTCTTCCACTAAGAAAGCAACTTGCATTTACCCATCTTTTTCCTCATTTAAAAAAAAAAAAAAAAGCTTTAATACGCCTCATGTTCAAAATGAAAACCTCGTTTTATTATGAGTACAGTTGGAACTGGCTCTTTTCCACCTCATTATGTACTTAATGTAGCAGCAAGAGGAAGGAAAGCCTCTAGCTTCCCATATTGCATTAGGGATCGCTCCATCCCAGGTTTTGTCTCCTCACACCCTCTCCATTCTCACAGATCTGCACAGAGCAAGATTCGCTTCTGGATCGTTTCGTTTTATGTTGACTCCTCTCTTTTCATCCCCAAACGAAAAGGCAGAGCTGCTGATGACTCACTTCACACAAGCGGTGGCTCTGCCTCGGCTTCCCGGCCTTCAGCACGACCTGCTTCTCCAGTAAAAATCAATGCTGCTCTTTCCTTTACGCAGCAAAGTCAATAACACTTTTCCATGTTTGCTTTCCAGTTCAGGGACCAGTCACAATGTCAAGTAGAGGCTTTATTAGTGGTTGTTGCAAACCCACATCCCCAGCTCCTCGTTAAAATGAAAAAAGAAAAGAAATTGGAAAACACAGCATCACAAGTCTCCTTCTCTCCTCTGCTGAGACCAAGCGCTGGACACTTCCTAATGAACACACACTACGTGGCTCTTGAAACTGGCTTGGTGGTTCATGGACAACTTATATGTGAGAGATGCAGAACTCCTGAAAAAAAGGATATTTAAACAAGCACCGATCAAGGGTTGTGGCATCTCATGTCACGAGCACAGCTGGATTTGTAGGGGCAGGATCATGTTCCTCCAGCATCCCCTGGGTGCCACTGCCACCCAGGTCCCCTCAATGCACAAACCTTTCATTCAAACAAGCCTCTATGGAGCTGGAAGTAGATGGTCCCTGAAGGGCATAGCACTAAACCTGAAATTGAGGAAGGCAAAGAAGGACGCATTAGCATTTTGCATTTCTTCCATGCTTTGCTGAATTATCTCTTCTTCTGTCAAACAAGAAGGATCTGCCTTTACAGCTCCAGAGCAGGATATTGTTATAATTGGCTTCATGGTAACTACTTCATAGGTTTTGACTTGGATTATTTGAAGCCATGAGAAAGAACAAATAGTTGAAACCTAATTTCTACTGTTTCCCTCTCCTTGTCCAACCAAATCAGTAACAAAATAAATTGCCATGAATAAAGAGCCAGTCATTAAGCAGATTAGCAAATCAGTAAGCTGTATCTTGTCACCATTTTACTAATGATTCTCTAAGTTCCACATTATTAATGATTATCCATCACTTTTGAATTTGTCTTCCTGATCGCTATGCTTAAGAAAGCTCTCCCCTTATGTATCTTCTGATTTTGTTTTTGCTGGCAGCATGTGTTTAGCCATATGCTCAGCTCGTGCTGCCTGCCAAATTCTTGCATTCCAGGGCTTGTTAAGCTGTGTAAAATGTTATTGTTGACTTGAATGTTAAGGGAAGTAAGTGACTGATTGCACTTGTTGTTGTGGCCATCTGTGCGTGTGAGCCAGAGCTCTTATCCCGACAGCAACCGTGAAGGCAGACAGACTGCGACAGTCGAATGCAAAGTCATTTGTGGTGCTTGAAGTATTTTCCAGCATCCACACTTCATCAGTACACTTCTATGTGAGCAGAAGTAATACCTGAAAAGGCCAATGTCTTTGATCCTTGAGAATAATTCTTCTTGACTTCAGCTAAAAAAAAAAAAAGAAAAAAAAGAAAAAAATCTTCCCTGATTAGGAGCTGGAGAAATTGGTTGTGAGGCATTAGCAGGCTTCTCTAATGAAGGGAGATGGTCAAGAGGATGTTGGAATTGAAGCTACAAAGATGATTTTTCTTTCTTGAAAGAAATGCGTAGGCACTTTAAGAGTATAAGGAATTTAGCAAGCTGCATTTTCAATCGCCATAGAAGGACTGTACTTCCTTATGAGGCATAGCTAAGAGAAAAGGGAAAACTTAACAGATGATGATTAACTGCTCAGCAGTGGGAATGTCCTGGCTTGTTCTTTCATGGCTGCTTTGTGATGTTTTGGCCCGTTTTGATGTGAGATCTCCAGACATATTGGCAGAGTTGTTTACTTAGTGTTGATAACACCTGAAATGGAAGATGGCTCTAACTTCATGCCAGTTTGCTGACCTCGGTTATTGCAGCAATGTTTGCTGAGGTGCAGGAAGGACGGGGAAGGACTGTTCTGCAGGGACACAGTAATGTGCTGTACTTCAGCTTCTCCCGTAGTGTAATTTAACTGTCTCATTTTGTCTTATGTGCAATTTTCCCTTTTAGCATTGCTTCAAAGGTCACTGCATCTGGTTGACACCGGATATCCTGAAGCAGGATGGACACTGGGGGGCATGGAGCAAGTTCGGCTCTTGTTCTCGCACCTGCGGCACGGGGGTGAAGTACCGCACGCGGCAGTGTGACAATCCACAGTGAGTCCCTGGTGCACCCCGTGCTTCCCTGGCGTGGAGTGCCTGAGCTGCGTGAATCGCTGCCAACTTACCAGTCAGTAGCATGGAAAGTACTAGTGCAGTAAGGATGCTAAAGCACATACGTGGGGCTTGTGAAATCTGACCTGATGTGTGTATTAAATATATAATTATTGCTTTTGCATCTTAGTGTTATCTCATAACATGTCACGACTATAATAGCAGGAACTAAAACAAGAGTTAGAATTAAATAATTTTACCAGGCAGAGTTTTCAATGTTGACTTTCTCACTTTAGTGTTAAAAATAAACACTGCTAGTGTTAAAAATAGTATTATAATTGATAAAAATGCTGTATTAGCGAGGCTGTGTTTTTTGATGCAAAGCTGTTCTGTCAAGAAAAACAATTGTAGCCATCCTAATTTCAGCCTTTATTACATTGGCAACATAAAAGTGACCTTTATAATTGCGGACTCCGTTTTAGTTGTAAAATCTGTTTTGATGTTAGTGAGGCTTAACACGCTATTTAAAATGTTTTCTGTGTGTTCTGGAAGAAGGTGCAAAGCCAGATATGACTCTCGAGCTCTGTGTTGCCAGATAACATAATGCCAGGTTGGAATGCACTTGGGCCTGGAGGAGGGAGCACTGATCTGTGCTGTATTTCTGGATTTGCCACTGGCTTAGGGGGTGAATGCGAATCAGTCACTTCCTCTGCTTGTGCATTTCGTTCCCAGTCTGCACCAAGAAAATGACTTTTCTTGCCTGTATCAAGTGCTTTGAGGCTCAACTGGCAGAAATTGCTCCATGAGAGCTAGACACTAACAGCAGGTTTTTAAAACGATCTCATATTTTACCCTAGCTGTAATGGTGTCTAGTAGAGGCTGAGTGAAACCTTTCCAAAATGCCTCCCAGACTCTCTGTTTCAACAGAAAACAAATATCAGAGCAGTCATTAGACTAGATGAAGCCCTGATAAAATGTGGGAAGGAAGTACCAGAAACAGACAATTAGCTTTGTCTAGTTCTTGACTGGGATTTAAATTACACCTGAAAAGATGTAATAAATACTTGATCCATGCATGAATGGCATAACTGACTATCCTTTTCCTTCCTCTCTCCAGCCCAGCCAACGGAGGCCGCACGTGTGTGGGGCCAAGCTATGAGTTCCAGCTTTGCAACACTCAGGATTGTCCTAAGGACCTGGAGGATTTCCGAGAGGAGCAGTGCAGACAGTGGGATCCTTACTTCGAATATCAGAACACAAAGCACCACTGGCTCCCCTATGAACACGTTGATGGTGAGCAGTGTCTCTGCCCGTCCTCAGTGGTTTTGGTGAGGTTAGTGACAGCCTGGGAGCTCTGGAGCCTGGAGCTGGGTCTCACATGGCCGTGGACATCTTAAGCCAAGTTGCCTTTTCCATGCACCGAAGAGCAATAGTGCATAAGGAAAGGCCAGGAGAACTGCAGACCAGCATGTCCCACTATCATACTGGGAGACTAATAGAAAAGATTATGAAAAAGAAAAATCAGTAGATCCACATGTAAAAAATATACTAGGCAGGATCAAATTATTTCTAGGGAAATCATACTCTGCATCTGCTAGAGTTCTTCAAAGGGTTCATTCTCATCCATGTCTATATATGAGTGATCTGATTCATCTAATATATTTGGATTCTTGAAACCCTTTGCACCCTCTTCCCCCACTAAATGCTCTTAAACTGAATTATCATGGGATAAATGGGAGTAGTTTTGCTGGGAGATGTCTGTGTCCTGCAAGGAGCTGTGCTGGGATGAGTACTTGGGGCATGCTTAGCCGTGATCTGAGAAAGGGAGCAAACGGAGATGACAAACTTTGCTCTGAATACAAAATTATTCAGGATAGTAATAATAAAAAGGCCCAAGCAGACAAGGATAAGCAAGAGTGTAGATAGACCAGGACTTTACAGCTCGGAGAAGTAATGATTTAGATTAAAAAGAGAGTTACCGAAATGTGAGTAGCATGAAACTGAAGAGGGAACAATTTATTCACTGTTTTTCATAACACAGGCCTGGGAACATTAAATAACATTTTCAGGTGGCAGATTTAAAACAAATAAAAGGAAGTATTTTTCCACATAGCATATAATTAAACTGGAATTCATTGCCACAGGATGTTTTGGATGCCAGAAGCTTATAGAGTGATTTAGAGAAATTCTTGAAAGGTCTATAACCCATCCAGAGCTATTAAGCACCAATATATAACCATGACTTAGGAAGTCCTTGAGTTGCATTTTTACAAGGAGTTTAGAGAATGTACTAGGGAGAGTAGTGCAAAGTTTGTTCTGCTTCATGTCGTTCTGCAAGCGCTGCGGGCACCGTTACAGACAGGATATTGGGTTGCCTACGCGTTGGGTCACAACCAGCATGCTCATTCTGATGTTCTGAAATCAGCTCTTAGAACAAAAATGCTTATTTTCTTCTTAACGTCTCTGCTCTAACCGTCAACAAAAGTGCAGATAATTGATTTGTGGCATGAAGGCTGTTGCCATGCCATTGCCATGTTGTGCTGCAGAAGTGCTGGGGAGAGATTTTAGCCAACAAAGGGACAGATGGAAGCGATCTTAGATGACAAGCAGTGGGACTGCTCACCATTATTAAATCTAACCACTTAATTTGAGCAACGGGTCCTCCAGGTCGGTGTTGTCGTGGCAGAGGACAGGTAGCAGGTAGCCGGGTACCGAGCTGTGCTCGGGTAACTGCGCTGTCCTTGGCCAGGCTCAGTTCTCAGGGAGGGGAAAGTTCACTTGGGGTGAGCTGTGTTGCATTCCAGTGAGAGGACACTGCCAGAAGTCAATGGCAAATTCATTGTAATTAATTTGTCCAGATTTTTTCCTACATAGTTCTGAGGGCTGCCTTATTCTCTTCATTGCGTCTTGTGCAATCTGGGGCTTTCAGAGGAGCATATAGAGCTTCATGGCTTCATTTCATGGAATCGCTTTCCTGGCCCAAGGAGAGGGGAAGAACACTGTGACCAACAGGCCTTTGCTCCTGGTTTAGGATTTGGAATAGTCTGCTGCAGAGACTGCTGAAATGAATCAGACTTTTTTTCTATCAGCTTCAATGGCTTTTGGGTCATATATCAGCTCAGTCTGATAACTGATCAGTCTGATCGCTTTTTAGTATAGCTATAATATAATCCACAGCCACCCTTGTGAGAGTTACATTCACGTATGTGATGTTACTAAAGGGAACAACTTTTGTGTGACGGCAAGGCCAGAGGGAGGTTATTCTAAAATTGCTAATACACATAAAGACTTAAAGACTGTAAAGCTCAGGCACATCAACAACGTGTGCTTGAGCCCAGCAGGGATGTACCCAGAGGCTCTCCAGGGCCCTGGGCATCCCCTCGCGCAGCCTCTGCTGGGCTCGCAGCCCTGTGCCACGTGTCTGCCACGGCAGCGTGTGACGTGGGCCCTTGGCTGTCATCCTCAGAAGGAGGAGGAGGAGGAGGGGAGGAAAGGAGCAAGGAATGGCCAGGCACATTGCTCACTTCCACGCTGCCTGCCCCGTGCTGTGCCAGGCACCAGGGGTGGGAAGGAAAATCGTACTTGGCAGCTAATGGGATCCAATTTAATGGCAATTGTAAATTTACTGTTCTCGTGATGGGAACCGTCTCTCATAAATAAACCTTTGGAACAGAGAGATCTTGTGCATAAACTAATGTTTTTAGTATATACAAATCCACTGGGATTGAGATTATTGTGATCTTAATATACCTATTAAGAAACCACACAAGCAAAGTAAGGTGGCTGCTTTAATGGCCCAGACCCTACATTTTTAGTATGACATATCTGCACCGTTCAGCAGCAGACCAGAGGTCTCTGATGTACCAATACCCAGTGGTTATGAAGACAGCAACAGCAATAACAAGAAGTTTATTAAAAGAGGGCAGAGGCCATGGCACTGTATGGGAATAAAAATGCAAAGGGCCTGTGAAGATTTGTTTTAATTGAACTACTAAAATGGAAAGATCTCTCTTTTTTTTAATGGTGGGAAAAATACCCTAAGTTTTAATCATGCTAAAATAGAAGAATCTTTGTTTGTTCTGCCTAACAGAAAGGTCATCTGCTGCTTACTGACAAGGAAAGCATAGTGAATCTAATTATGGGGCTGGAGAAAGCAAGAAATATGGGCAAAGTGAAATACAGTGGTGGAATATAATTTTGTGCAATAAGTAATTAGTCCTTTCAGCTTTGTTGTTTGTTTTGTGCTCCTTGGCAGACGTTAGGAGGAAGAGGTATATTTGTCTGGTTGGTTATACATGTGTTAGCAGTAGGTTTTTTTCTGAGTCTCTTTGACATCTTGTCTTTCTTAATGATTTCAGCCATCATAAATACAAACACAGCAGTGAGGGCGTATTACTTTCTATCTAGTTGTCTCTGAAAACTTTTTCAAAGCCAGTTTTGCTTACAATGTAGAACAGCTGCTTTTATTTGCAAAATTGTATTTGCCTTTTTTTTTTTCAGAATTAAGTAGAATGTGGGAGAAACTGATGCAGAAACTTCGTCTCCCAGAGGCAGCCAAATTTCAGACTGCCAAAACCTCAGATTACATAATCCAGCATGGGATTAAGTGGGGACCCCAGTGGGAGTAAATGATCTGCTGTTTGCCAAAACAGTCTCCTAATGATGACCCTTGGGTCCTTTCTGCTTCAGCAGTTTCCAGATGATCACATAACCTTTGAAAGGGGATAATCATTGATGATTTAGTGGGTACTATATTGTTCTCTGTGATGTATGAAAGAAAGAAGAGAGCACTGATACTGTTTCCATTTAAAGTGCTGCTCACAAAGCCAGCAAATAAACTGTAAACACTGCTGAGCACACAGAATTTGGGTCATTTTATTTTCCAGCTAAAGAAAGGTGTCACCTGTATTGTGAATCCAAGGAAATGGGTGATGTTGTATACATGAAACGGATGGTACACGATGGGACTCGCTGCTCCTACAAAGACCCCTACAGCATCTGCGTGCGGGGAGACTGCTTGGTAAGCACCCTTGGGTGGCTCGTTAGCATTGTGGAAACAATTCAAATGGTAGTTGGAGTGTTTCTCTCCCAGAATGGTTATTTAAGTGGGGATAAAAACACTCTGGGCCTTTTGAGATTGTGTTAGGACTATTGTCACAATATTATGTGTGGTGTTCACGGTTGCTCTCACATTGCGTGCGACTCAATTCCAACAGCATCTACCTACACAATTAATTCCCCATGCAATATTTTAAGGTGAACTGTTACAATTAGCTTTCAGTGAAAGCTCTTTCTGTGTTGGATTTTGCGGGGGTGGAGGGTACGATGAAATATGAACGTGCAGCAGCTTTCAAGGAAAGCAGGGTTAAGATCTGACCGATGTGCGTTCTCTCCATATTTGATCAAGCTATTTTTAAAAAATCAATGACAGTTCCTCTACGCTGGGTCTACCACAGGTCATCTTTCATCAGGATGAGAGGCTCCGATACAGCAAAGCACTTGTGAAGGTTCTTAACCTCTCATAGATGCTCTGATTCTCCTGGAATTTAAGCATCTGCTTTAAGATAAGCTCAGGTTTAAGAGATTTTCCTTAGCACTGCTGCTCCCCTTCAGTACGAGGACCACTTTGAAACATAATATCAAAATACCATCACCTAGTTGACAGTATTAAAGGAATTGGAAATAAAAGTTTTGAATTGTTTAGATGCTGGTCTTCCAGGCAAATCCTATATTTGGGGAGTTTTGGTTTTGATTTTTGCTAGCTCAGAGATCAGGGTTTTGGTATCTGAAGTCTCATTTGAGTCAAAGCTCGGATCAGTCAGAATGACTGTTTTTCTCTTCTGCTCACAGAAAGTCGGGTGTGATAGGGTCATAGGGTCCACAAAGCAGGAAGATAAATGTGGTGTTTGTGGAGGAGATAATTCCCACTGCAAAGTGGTGAAAGGGACATTTTCAAGAATACCAAAGAAACAAGGTCAGTAAATTCGGTGTGTTTTATCCTGGGGAATTCAGGGTATTTTGTTTGTTCTCTTCTGATGTCTTCACTTTCATGAAAAGCATCTCAGCAATCAGAAATAATTTCCAGTATCACCAATTCTAATAAATGCTCTGGACTTTATTTTGAGACATGGCTAGAGTCTGAAGGTGTGAAAGCAAGACTTTTGCCAGTAATCGGTGTGGCTGCTGAAATCAGGGCTTGCATGTGCATGGGGAGGGCTCGCAGTGGTCCCGGTGGGGCCTCGTGCCCTGATCCGCACAGCTGAGGTTGCTGAACTGCTCAGTCCAAGTTCCTGAATCGCTGCAAGGATATTTGGTCGTCACTTAGTGTGAAACCAGGCCTTGCATGGTCTCCATGGGGGTCTGCAATAAGGCACTGGAAGCCTTCAGTAATGAGCCATTGTAGTCTGAAACTAAGTTTGTGGAGGACACTTGAGGACACTTAAGCCTTTTTTTTTCTTTTTTTTTTTTTGACTCAAAGCCTTTGTCCCTGTTGCCTTTCTTTACCTGGCACAGAGACATGATGGGAGTGGTGCTGAATTAGGTTCAACTTGCTTTCATATACTCCCATTTTAGCAAATACAATCTATTTAAAAGCCTAAGCCAGACTCTTCCTGTTTGCAGCATACTAACCAGTTACTCTCTTTTTAAATACTGCAATCAAGGGCACATTAAGATGTTTGAAATTCCTGTTGGTGCAAGACACTTACTTATACAGGAAACAGACGCCACCAGCCATAATCTCGGTAAGTATGCAACAAAAAGCAAAAAAGTTCAATGGCAGGATTTTTTCTGCTGTTTATTTTTGTTTGTGGAGCTTCACGACATGTGTTTGCACATTTGTTTACCCATTATCCTCCCACACCACATACCTCCTTTAAGTGCATTAAATTAGGAAACTTGTTTGGCAAGTTGATTTCCCCATGCTGTATTCTGGGGGGTCATAGTAAGAAGATTCCAGGATTGGCAAGTGCATGTGCAAAAGCTGCTGGAAGAGCTGCTGAATTATGTGCACGCAACGATGTCTGCGTGACCTTCCCGTGTGTCCCATCCTCAGCCGCGTCCCAGGCGCACGCGGAGCGCGGCGGGAGCGCTGACGCTGTTGCGGGTTCTGCCCCGTTGCTAATAGTGTCGATGTGAGGCTTCCCCATCCATCACACAGCTTAGAAAATAATTGAAATCCACTCCTCGCTGTGCCAGGTAATCAATGAGCAAGGGGGCTAGCGAGGGCGAGCGGGTTCGCAGCAAGGGGCTGGCTAATTCTGTCGTGAGTCGTTCGATAGAATTAGCCAGCCCCTTGCTGCGAACCCGCTCGCCCTCGCTAGCCTGCTTGCTCATCAGGACAAGAAATCCCTTCCATGAGTGCTTCCCTGCTGCTTCCGTGCAGCCTTCCCGAATCGAGCAGCTCTCACGTGTGGACAGGGCTTAGGTTGGTGTGGGCTAAACAGTCCCCAGGGCAAGTGCACATCCCCACGAGCCCCTCGGGAGAGCAGGGAGTTACAGCCTGGTGAGCAGTAATAGCCAAGAGGGAACTGAATCATAACCCAAAGGCTGCAGCCCTCTTGTAATTACATTTCTTATGTTGTTTCTAGCAATTAAAAACCGTGAAACGGGAAAATTCATTCTAAGTGAAGACAACTACGTGCCAGACTCCAAAGTCTTCATTGACATGGGCGTGGAGTGGGAATATCGGAATGACGACGATAGAGAAACCGTGCAGACCATGGGGCCTTTGCGTAACGGCATAGTTATTATGGTGAGTCAAATGAAAACCATCTTCCATGGAACACAGCGTCGTAATGTGCTATAATGTATTTTAGATTCCTCTTGTGAATTGCAAGAAGACATCTGCTTTGGTTATAGGACAACAAGATGTATTTTAATTCCTTTCTCCTAATTCATTGCTGTGTGCAAGAGTTGCTATAGCTCAGGGTTGCGTGTTGAGCAACCAACTTCCCTGATGTTTTTTTGCAGATGGTTTATGTAAAGACTCTGCAACCTACTTATTTCAGCTGAGATGTGAGTCAAAGTGGTTCATATCAGATAGATTTAATAACTCCTCCTCCCTTCCATGTTTTGACAATGTATCCTGCAAAGTCAGATACTGGATCCATATGCTTCCAGGCTCATGCTGTTAGGGCACAGCCAGTTAGAGAGTTCAAAAATCCTTCCAACTGTATTATTTTCTCATTGCTAACAGCAAATGATAGACTAGAACAAGGAGGGCTAGAACGATTCAGAATCCTTCTGAAAATAACTTTAAGCTGCTGATCTACAGCAGCTGAAAATCAAAGCGGGAATAAAAATGATGTTTTCAAAGGACCAATATGTTATAATTTATGACACTGACTTATGTTTTCTTGCATGTGTCTTGCTGCGGTGTGATCACAAAACCTCTTTCTGAATAGTTTATTTTTATAACTTGATCAAGTAACAAGTTTCATAGAATTCCCAGGGTTGTCATAAGAATATTTTTCCTTTACAAGAAATAAAATACATTCTCCTCACCTCTTTCAGTTAATCTGTACATTTGAATTTGCTTTTTCTTTCAGTGGAACTACCCATTATCATTTTAGTATAACATTTCCTGCCTTTATGATGGAATATGGAAAAAATTTAGTTTTGTGAAGTCAGTCCAATGCTGGCAAGAAAAATCACTCTAAATCAACAACAGTCTTTCTTAATATGCAGTTTAGAAACTCCATGTCATAATGCTAGAGATACTTTTTCAGAAGGAAAAAAATGTGTTGAGTGCAGCTAAAAGATTTCAGTCCCTTTGGGAATGTTTTTAAATTTTTATCTGAGCCATGACGATTGCTATTTCACATTATCTCATATAACTTCTGGTATCAGTCTTTCAAATATTTTTCCCCCTGTGTCTGTTTTGCTTTCTAGGTGATTCCTCATGGCATTGCCAAGATCTCTTTGACTTACAAGTACATGATCCATGAAGATTCCTTGAATGTAGATAACAACAATGTTTTGGAAGAGGACTCCGTGTCCTATGAATGGGCTCTGAAGAAGTGGTCCCAGTGTTCAAAGCCTTGTGGAGGAGGTAAAAATGCAAGAACAGTGCAGTTAAACTTGATTAAGAAAAAACTGGAAAAGTGAACATCCTGTGACACAAGACATTAGTGAGACCAGAAGTGTGGGAGGGTTTTATTAGGCTTAAAATAAACAGATGAGTAAATAACATATGGAGTTAAAAATCTGACTAAAACGGCTCTTGGGGCAAATCTGGTGTGGCTCATTTCTGATTTATGTTTATGAAACTGAAAAATTGCACAAGTGTGCAAGATTTGGACAAGGGCCTCTGAAATACAAGGATGTCAACATCAAGTCACCCTAGGGCAGGCCCTTACTGCATCTTTTGTGACCTGTGCTGTGGACCTTGCTCTGTGAAAACAGGCCCTGTTTTGGGGCCACTTGAGTACCCCAGTGCTCCTTGCTGCTCTTCAACAGAATGACACCCAGGCGTTAGCCCCTTTGGTGCAGCTGGGCAGGTTTACAGGACATTTTTGAAACCTTAGCAGTTGCTGTTCTTTTGATGATAGTCCGCAGTGAAATAAGGGGGATGAGCAGCCCTGTGTGCCATGCGGCGCAGCTTGCAGGGCTCGCGCAGCGCGTTCGCCCGCGCCTCCAGCCACGACCTTCCACGGCGCCCGCGCAGCGTGAAACCAGAGTCCTGTGTAAGACCTCTCTGGCCTGAAAATAAGGGGAATTTCTGTCTCCAGGCTATCAATTCACCAAATACGGCTGCCGGAGGAAGGCAGACCACAAGATGGTTCACCGGAGCTACTGCGAGCTGATCCAGAAGCCGAAGCCCATCCGCAGAGTGTGCAACCTGCAGGAGTGCTCCCAGCCCATGTAAGCATCGCTGCCTCCCGGGCCGCCCTTACCAGCTAGTGCTTGTCAGCTGAAAGAAGGTGACTTAAACTTAATCCCTGCTTTTGCACCTTGACACATGGCTGCTGCCTGACTGTAGGGCTCCTAAGGACCTCTGTGCATCATTAGAAACCCAATAATGCAACTTTGTGTTGCTACTGGTTACATTCTGCTTGTGGAAATACTGCTCCAGCGACTGCTGGTTCCTATTACTTCTGACATAAGTTGGATTAGAAAGGAAGTGTTGTCGTGATCCAAACATTTGTGTTCAGCCCATCTTGAGGTAATAAAAAATAGACATAAATTCCGTTTATACCAGCAGATTTTACACAGTGTGAATTAACCACGTAAGAACAAATTTACGGTGTGCTACATAAGAAGAGCAATGACATATATCCTGTCAAATCCAAATCCTCCTAGAATTCACAGCATGTTTTTGGAGATGTAAATACTGGGAAAAATATCTGGCCAGTTTGATTTCTCTGGCTGTCCTCCTACGGTGCGCTAAGCCTATAGTACCGACGTCTTTGGTATACATAGTAAGTTATGGACATTTCTGTTCACAGTTTGCAGGTGCTTTTTTGACTGGCAGGAGATTAACCCTGTCACACACAGGGCTCACCTATTCCCCCTGTCGCTGCTGCAACAAGGAAGGAGTTGGTTGAGCTCAGCTTTTCTCTCTGGGGACCACGTCTAGGTTCCAGGAAGAAAAGCAAATAAGTGGAGCATAGCACACAATATTTCCTAACTGCCTTGCAAAAGAGATCTGAAAGAGAGAAAAGTCAAAGTGAAGAAACGATGCCCTGTAAACTCAACCCAGGTTTAACATTTATTTATTGGCACCGAAGCAATGACTTAGCGATCATATCTCAGACTCTCTGGAAAGGACTGTATTCTTCTTTCAGCCACAAATATAATTGGACACAGGTACCACAAAGACTTAATAAGATCCTAAATTGTGCTTGGATTCCTGATTTTTTCAGTTGTCTCTGTTTCCACAGAATGTGATCCGAGTATTTTGCCCATGTTCATAGGAGAGGCAATTATTTTAGGGATTTCATGAAGCTTTGCATCCAGAACAACACTAATGTGCTGCTGCCTCACTGGTAATGGAAAAAAACCCTACATTTGTTTCAGGGATTGCCTTGGAATCTGCAGCTTTGCTCTGTAGAGCACTCGCCTTCTCTGCAGCTGTGTAATATCAGTAGGTGCAAAGACAGTTGTGTGAAACTGCCACTCTACTTCTCACTAAACGTGGGAGTGCAGTGCATTTTCTTGTGCCTATTTCTTATCTCTATCTAGAAACTGGATTTCTATGAGTACTTTAGGAGAAGCACTACAAACTCAGGATATTTCTTCAGAGTTTTTTTATTATTATTATTTTCTGTTTAAATTTAGCCCAAGAATCCTGTTTACATTAAACTGCTTCTCCCTTGCAGATCTCTGCACTCTGTAAATATTTATAGAGAACTGTATATATCTTTACTTACTTGATTATAACCAAGCTTTCAGTAGCCCTCTTAAATTTTAGCTCGTCCCTGTCTGTCCTTGTAGCTGTAATTCTCAAGGTAGTTTTGATGATCAGGAAAGTTTTCGTCCATGTCTCTTTATAAACCATAGGTGAGACTTTCCAGGGTCCAAATTGGCAAAAAATAGAGAGTTCAAAAACACATGAAGAACCCAGGTTTTCTGATTTTCAGTGAAACTTTACATCCCACCAAACCAAACCTTGATGATGCTGAGGACCCTTGTTCACCAGAGCTCAGCATGGACAGACCTGATGGTGTAGCTGGTGTTTGCTGGTGCTTTGCATGGCTAAGGATCCAGTCTATAGATTGTATGTGTAATATTAAAGTTGAAAAATTCTGCCTGATGCCATTATGGCAAAAAAAAAAAAAATGGCCCCTGGAAAGTTGTATCTAGAGTGAGCACTAACATGATATTTCAAATAGGAATTTTGTTTCTCTTCCTTTCTAAAGATCTGGGCCATCTAAGAAGCACTTGGCATTGTCCCTCTGGAGTGGCTGGTGCTGTTTAGGTGCATGTGTGCAACAACTTAGGAGAACAGATCAGAGCTATTAATTGAAAAATGAGTCAGTCTGAAGTTCTGGATCTTACTGCTGATTGTCAATGATATTGTTAATTAGTCTCCTTAGAATGACTTAGTTATTTTCATTTCTTCTTCTTTTCAGAGATCAGGATCAGTATTGCCACCCTACTAAACTCACTGTTTAAGAGTTACAGTCCAGTGGACAGTTCAGGGTCTAAATTGGGGGAAAGAATTTTACTTAGCAAACTCCCTTAATCCACCAAATATTCTCTTTTCACTAACCCAGCTGGGTGACAGGGGAGTGGGAGCCTTGCAGCAAGACTTGTGGCAAGACAGGATACCAGGTGCGCTCTGTCCGCTGCATCCAGCCGCTGCACGACAACACGAATCGCTCCGTTCACACCAAGTACTGCAACAACGACCGCCCGGAGGGCCGCAGACCTTGCAACCGGGAGCTCTGTCCAGCACAGTGGAGACTGGGGCCCTGGTCACAGGTCAGTCACCTTCTGGAGGCTTCGAGCAGATAAGTTGGTATGAAGCAGGGCAGATCTTGGAGAGCTTATTCTGTGCTGGCTGAACTAATTCCCAAGCAGGCGGTGTAGCGTTTCCTCTAGTATTTAGCAGGAATTAAGTTAGAGAAGTAGTACTGAAACCGTCAGTAAAGCCAGCTGTGGGTTCACAGTTAAAGACTAACTTCTTGACCACTGTTTGCCAAGGGTGACTCGGGGGTAACCAGTGCGTGTCCTTTCCAGTGCTCTGTCAGCTGTGGCAACGGCACGCAGGACCGCCAGGTTCTGTGCCGCACCAGGGACAACGTCGCCGGCTTCTGCAAAGAGGATAAACCAGAGACCATCAGGAATTGCAGACTACCTCCATGTCCCAGTAAGTATACACTGCTCACTTTGAAAATCACCACTGGGTGCTTCTATCTGAAAGCCTTTACTGAACTCCTGCTCATGCATGAAGCTTGCCTGGGTGGCCAGTTCAGCCTGGGCTGGGTTTCAAGCAGAGTTTACAAATGTGGGCTCTTGTGCAGCTGCTGGGCTTCCTGGGCACGTGTTGTTTCACGCTCACCATGGGAAGCACCACCTGCCACAGGCTGCCAACAGCACCCATGGGTGGGAGGCACTGCTCGAGTCCAGCCTTGCACCTTCAGGAAATGCCAGGCTTGGTGAGAAGAGCCAAATGGGTTGTGGCTAGTCAAGGTCATCGTGGGCAAAGAGGCCTCTCTGCTTCACCCACCACCAGTGACATTCACAGGCTTCTCCTCTATTCTTCAAGGTTTCATCTTCAAGCTAATAATAAATTTATTCCTATTTAATCCAGGACACCAATGCCTTCTTAGCCTTTCTGCTGTTTTCAAGTGATACTCCTGAGGTCATTTTACATGCTTCTGTTGTTAAGTGATTCATTTATTCCTGATGTATTTGTCAGTATAGCTTTTGATTCCTAATTAATTAGAACCTAGCTGTCAATTATGGTCTCCAATACTAAAGTTTAAAAAGAGACAGTGCAACTAAGCTTAGCCTGGATGCTTCTCAGCATATATTTAACATTGCTTGCTGGAAGTAGTGCCTGGCCTTCGTGTGGGCCTTCAGTGTTGGCTGTCAAGCACGGGACACAAATTGTAGCAAACTACCCCTATCTACTCCTTAAAAAACCTCCTACGCAGCCGGGTTATCATCCTTCCCAGGGGTTCTCCCCAAGGTCACTTGTTCTGTCAGTTTATCCTGTTCTACCAGGTAAAGTACTTAATGCTAATGTATATTGTGTTACATCTTTATTTTCTTTCCTCTATTCAAGGAAACGTTTCCGATCCTTCAAAGAAAACCTATATGATACAATGGCTGTCGAGACCTGATCCAGACTACCCCATCCAGAAAATATCTTCAAGTAAAAGACCCATTTATAACTCTGCCTTTGCCCTTAAATGCATGCCACATCGAATGTGGACTTTGCCTTTTGCTCTTCTCCTCTCTCTATGCGGAAAATTCCCTTGACTTTGCCAAGTTTAAATCTTGGGCTGAATCTTCTTTTCACACCGGCCTTGGTGCTCGGTGTCTTTCTTCTCTGGAGCTTGTGTAGCACTGGTGGTGGAGGTCTTGAAGTGTTGGCTGTGTGAAGCTGGATCTCCACAGTATGTTGCAGTCCTGGGAGCTGGGACCAGTTTGCTTGTTGCTTGGTGATGGTGAAAAAAGGCTCTTACTGGTTCATGATGTTCAGTTTGACAGCAGAACTGAGAACTTATTGTGAATGTGATCACATCACAATAATGACACCTTGTAGTGCTAAAGTTCTCCTTTATCTCAAGGCCCTAAATCTCATAACTCTCTGGTTTCAGTTTCCTGACAGGGTAGTCTGTTGAACAAGAGAATTTATTCATTCCATTTTCCTTTGCGGTGCCCTTGCTTTACTCATCTTTGCTGCTCTTTTTGACTCCTGACCTTAGCCTTTGTGTTTGCAGGCTGTGGAGGGCTCGCTGACACCAGGAGCTCCATTCCTGTTGCTACTTTAAGTGCTGCTACTACGCTGGCTGCTCTTGCCAAACTCCTGTTGGTGTTCTGAAATATTTTTTCCTTGTGAAAAGCTGCATTCGTTTTTTCCCTTCACACAATTTTTGCCAGTTTTGCAGTACTTTTTCTATAGAAACGAAAACAAAGCAGAACAGACATGTCCATGCTGGTGGTGTGTGCTGGTGTTTTTGTTAACTTGGTTGAGGCAATATGACATTTTCATTGACGACGATGTCTGCAGCTGCTCCACAAGAGCTCTTTATACTCATTGCATCTTTGGTCTTTTTTCACCATGTGCATGTCTGACTTGCCTGGTGTGGTTGCGTGTGTGTGTGCGTGTGTGTGCTCTATAGATGTGTCAACTGGCAAACATAACAGTGTGAACTACTACAGAATTACCTCAATTTTTATTGCTTTTTTTTTTTTTGGCTTAGAAGAAAAATTTTAGAAAAAATGCCTTAATGTTGAAGTGTAAATGGCATTAATTTACCAGATCCAGCTTTAAATATAAACAGTACACTGGTATCTTGGGTTAAGCATCTTACAGAGTGGTTTTACTTGAATGATAGCTATCAGAAGGCAGTTAATTTAATGTGAGGTTAATTTGCACAGTACATAACCATGTCTTCATAGAGATGAGATGGTTACCAGACTTACTGACCTTTAACTGGCATTGCTGCTTCACCTTACGTGTTTGTGTTGAAGGTTTGGAGTTCACAAATCTTAAAACTGTTTGTGACATGCAGTAATAGTAAAAGCATATCAGTATATAGACAGCAGTCTTGGAGCAGGTTGCTACCTTATTGCATTGATCATATTCTTTAGAAAGGTGGCATTTTTGAATCTTTGGATCTTCAACAGTGTAGCACTTCAAACTTGTCATTATCATGTGATCACATATTTAAATTTTGCTGTTAATATGATAATTTCTTGAAACATGTTAGCAATTTACATGACAAGGTGAAAAAGCAAAGACACGTATCTGGCACTGAATACTGTTATGTAAAATAATTGGTGTTTAACTGTATAAATATATTCATGACTGTTAACTTTAAATAGACAAATGTTTAGTGATGTTTCAAGAGATGGGTGGCTATAGAGAATGGTGCAATAAGGTATCTGGGCATTGTGCACTATGTCTATATGCACTTTGGTTTATCAGGGATATTTTATTAGTGTTTTGTATGTATTTAACATAATATTAAAGATGTGCCAATTCAGTTTGCTTTTCAATATTTTTTTATGAGACTAATGTGTACCAAAGTGACTGTGAAACTGATTTATTTTTTTCTTACTGATGTTTTGAAGATATACTTCCAGTCTGTCATGCATACTGCAAGTAAAAATAAATAAAAGTTCAGCAAATCTGGATATTTTGGTTTGCATAGCGGATAAAAAATTCATTCTGACATTCAGAAATGACAGAGATGAAGATTTATTTATATAACTTATCAGATGTCACTATACATATTACATAATGCAGTTTGATTTTCATTTATTTTTAGGCTTGATTTTACATATTTTTGATAGAAAAAAGGCATTTTTCTAAAGGTGCTTTTAGTAATACTTACATAGCCAGGAGCAGATCTGCCTTGCTGAAGCTGCATTTAAATGCGATATCCCTTGACTTTAATTTTGCAAGCCGTTTGGAGAAGTTGCATTAAAGCAAAGGAACAAAGGCAAAATGTTCAAAGGGACCACAACATGGTGTGTAAAGAATATATACAGCTGTATAGGGGCATGCAGTCCTTTTGTATAGCATGGTGCTTGCAGATACCTATGGTTTCCGATTCTTAAAGACTGATGTGAAAAAAACCCAGTCCAGAACCCTGTTAGTGTTGCTGGGTTCTAAGGAAATAGGTGCTTTTTATCTGGCAGCATCTCATTTTAGCAGTTAAAAACCATGGAAGTGAATTGACACATTTGAAAACAAGAGCCAGAGTCTTGCTTTTCTGCAACAAATGCATAAGACCTGAATAGAAGGCAAGAAAGGTATTTCCAACTCCATCAGCCAACGCTAGAATTTTTAAGCGAGAGCAATAACTTTATTTTAGACTGCTATGTTTGCCAATTAAACACTTGCAGTGCCCTGTAATGTGAAGTAAGGATGGATGAAGGGCTGAGGCAGTGCCCAGCAGCAGAGGAGCTCCCAAAACGCCTCAACTTGAGTGTCCTTGTAGCGGGTACGCGCTGGAACCAGGGGGTACCTGGAATTAGGCTAGTCCTAGTACTGGACTCTTAGGAAGGGCAGCAGAGGGTCAAAGTGATTGCTTTTTTGGTCACTAATCACGCCAAGTGTCGCTCAGTCTTCTGCCTATCTCCTCAGTGCTCTCGTCTCCTCTCCAGCCCTCTGCCCCCTCTTGCTTTCCGTGGAGGCTGCGCGTTGGGATTTCTTCTTCCCTGCGGTTCCTGCTCATTCCCAGCTCCATCCCTTCTGTTTTGAGGAGCAGAAGCTATGGAGCGTGCACGTAGGCTGGAGGACAAGCAGCTTTCCCTCCGACGAGGCTCCTAACCCTTTAGCATCCATCTGCCACCTCTCCATGTGAGCCTCTGCCTCCGCTGAGCAGAAATCACAAGCGCTCGAGTCATCTCTGATGAAGCTTCATTTAATGTTTCTCAGCAAATAAAACAATATGGCCAGTTCCCTTTTAATACCCTACCCTACATTTTACTACATGCAGTCCAGCAAGCTCAGGATCTGGCTTAATACCTCTATTATAATGCATTAAAAACAGATTGTCATAAAGGCTAGTGACGGCTTCAAGCCTATGGATTATCATTCTTGCCCTTTTGTTACAGTTTTTCACTCAGTGACGCAAAGAACAGGGCTTTGCACTGAGGCTCCCTGTCATTAGTGTGTTGCCTTGCTCTGTCCTGCTCGAGTTTGTCATGCTAAAGATATCGTCTCCCTTTGAGGAGAAAAAAGTTTATGCTAAATATGCCACTTTTCTTGCAAGCAAGAGGAATGTCCCCACAGTGCTGCCATTTTCTGGCCGCAGACTGAAAAAAACAGTCACTTGAATGGAAAATGGATTAAATGCTGAGAGTTACCCAGTCCCTGTAGAGATAAGGCTGGACTTTCTTAAGGGTCAGGGGTTTTTTTATATATAAATAAAGCCTGACTGGGGTTACTCATTGTTAGACTGCGTTAAAAGGAGTAATGGAAAAGATGAGGCTTATTAGTATAAACGGGGGTGACTTTCGGGGGGTTTAATGCAGCATTTGGCAGCAACACGGCCCTGTTGGCGTGTTGAACGTCAGACCGCGGCAGGACCGCGCGTCACCGGGCTGCGTTGCAGAACGTGAAGGCCGAATCGGGCTGCTCAGGGCTAGAACACACGCAGGGCCGATACGCAGAATTCGGGTCAGGTTTGCATACGCTGGATGAGCCAAGTTTCACATTTAATTTTAAGCCTGCTTTTCCTTCTCAAGGGCTTTTTTGCTGGTTTCCCGTTGCACTTTATGTATCAACCCCCCGGCCCGTTGCCAGAACCCCAGTTGTGCTTCTGCGGAACACCAAGATGCTCTTTATTTATCTGTTCCCTTTTTCTCTTGCAGAAGATCATTGTCAAGGAGACAAGTCGATGTTTTGTCGCATGGAAGTTCTCTCGCGTTACTGTTCGATTCCTGGTTACAATAAGCTGTGTTGCAAGTCCTGTAATATGTACAGCAACGTAACAGAGGAGGTCAACGCGACTGATTCCAACATAAATAAGAATAATGTCATCGAGGAGGAGTTCCTGACAACCCTCAGCACTCCCGTGGCAGTTTCCCCCACGCAGGTTGCCACCAGTTCACCTCTCATTTCCAGAACAACTGCATCTCCTTCCAACGCAACCGAGGAGCACCCGGAAATTAACGCAGTGGATGTTCCCTATAAGATTGACGGGCTGGATAATGAAGTATCCCAGCACAACATCATTACCCAGAGGAGGATACCTTATGAAAGGACAAGGAATCAACGAATTCAAGAGCTGATTGCTGAGAAAATGAAGAGAGAGACTCTTAGAAAAATAAATTAGAGTGGAAATACGGCACATGCAACGTTTTTCTCTTATAGAGATGGTACCAACATCATAGTATTGCCCATATCATAGAGACTAAAAATGGGGAAAAATCAAAGTGGTGCTATGGCGGAAATGCCACATTCTAAAGTCTACTCTAAATGGGGACAGATTGTTTCAAAAGTGCTGATCTAAACACTTTGATGGCTAGGTTTACAGGGTACGGTAGAGTATTAGTGCAATATCGTTACAGCATTTCACTGAATCCAAACGAGCCGTAAAACCTAGGCCAGGCTAGCAGGATTCTTGTTGATGGGCTTTTTGAGTTCTTCTCTGCCTGTGTAAAACTGCTTGGGAATAGTACTGGGAGTTCTATTTAGGATGGAGGAAAACAGTCCCAAGACCAAATGAATCCCCTTAGCAGCGACGAGCAGGTGCTCAGCTCTCCTGTGATGCTCCTGCGCATGGCACGAAGCCGGGTGCTCACCCTGCTCCAGAAGGTGCTTAGGGACATGCCAGGCTCTGGGTCTGCTTGGGGCTGGGCATGTGCTTACGTAGCTTTCTTAACCAGGTCTGCATAAGGAAATATATAGGACATTCTGTAGCCATATATTTATGTGTAAATGAAAAATCGACGACCAGTAGTTTGCATATTGCCATAAACAGTTTTGAAGCATTCTTCTAGGCACTCAAATAGGTGCAAGACACTTAGTGTTAGGGTAGAGCCAGCCAACGTGGACTGACAGCACCCTGGTCTCTCTGTTTACAAGCATCCTTATTTTTGATAGTCTTTAAACTCATCTAATACAGCATCCTCAGTGATCTTGGTTGGTTGGTGCTTTTTTTTTTTTTTGGTGCATATTTTTCTTTCCTACCCACATGCTGTTTAACTTAAAAATGACTGGATTCTTGGTGCCTTTTCTTTGGTGCTTTGTGAAGAAAACTTTTTTTTTCTTTCCCATAGTACAAGGTGATTTTGGAGGAGATTGTTTCATGTTCTTCCTTTCCTTAGGACAACTTTATTGGTGCAAAGGTGAGCAGTTGTTCGCTGTGCTCACACACTCATACACTCACACACCAGGTCTGCTAGAAACTTAAAGACGTGTAAGTCGACAACCCTTTGAGTACTCCATCTCCCTCAGGGTCACCGTGATTTTCGTAGGTAATTTTGGTTACTCAGAGACTGGGAGAGAGCTTCAGATTGGCTCTTTTGCTTCAGGATTGATGTGTGCTGGAGTTTCAGAGGACTGCCAGTGTTCATTGCCAGGATTATTTCAATATTTCACTCTGAGGGTAAGACCATCTCATTCTCCAGCTTCTCGTGAGCCTGAGCTGTTCTTTGCCGGAAGCAGAGCCAGTTTTAAGCCTGTATCATCATATGATTGTTGAATAGGTGCTAGATTTCCAGCAATGTGTAAACTCTTCTATGGCCTGACTGCTAGCAGAGAGCTCCTGAAGTCTTGCAAACATCATGGCTTGGTGGACTATCCCGTTCCCACCTCCAAACATGCTGAAAGGGTTCGGAAAAAGGAGGGGGGAGCCTGCAGGAAAAGCAGTCATGGCCACATTGAGATGCCCAGCTGTGCGGCCAGGAGTCTTCGGAGGACAGGAGCCTGATTCAGCAGAAATAATGTATGAGAAAGAGTAGAGAAGGAGCGTGCTGGGTGGTGGGACAGCCTCATGTTGCCTTTCTTGCAGAGGAGCACGGTGATGGACGCAGGTGTTTTGCAGCTGCTCAGACACTGTGCAGTGACGGGAGTTACACCGAAGGGTACGAAGAACAGGCAGTGAAACAGGACTGAAAAAGTCAGGAGTGCTAAGAGACACCTCCTGGGCCACGATCGCTCGTCTCCAGCAGCCGTGTCGCCAGATGTGAGGGCGCAGACAGTGCAAGCACCGGGACACACGGACACCCCTGGCCTCCGCGAGGCCTCGGCAAGACCTCCTGTCCCTTCCTACATTCCCCTGCGCTAACAGGATGCTGCAATGCAGAGAAATGTGTTTTGGGTTTAGAAGGTGAAACTAAAGCCCCACAGCCCAGCAGCTCTGAGCGCAGCGCGGTTAGGGCAGTTGCAGAGGGAGGACCCCACCTTGAGGGGCCTTTTCCCCCAGGCAAAGGGCACCGATGCTGAACTGGCTCCTGCCCTCGCTTGTCCCCGTTCCCGGTGTCCGGATGGCTCCAGGCTGATCCGCAGGCAGCCGCAGCCTCGTGCAGGGGGATTTGCAGCTCCCGCGGACGTGGCCGACGCAGGGACCGCGCAGGGTCAGGGCACAGCTGGGTAGAGGAGAGCGATGGGCAGCAAGTACCCACGGGGGCTCTTTATGTGCCACTTATAGGTAAGAAAGGAGGGATTCGGCACCGTTCCAGCTGCTGCACATGCAAATCTGGCCATGAGAGCAGCGAGCCGTGCCGGGGCTCCCAGGATAGCTGCTGGAGATAGCTGTATGGAGTAGCTCTTGCCTTCCTTGCACAGCTGTGATTCTTCCTTTCCTCTTCAGGTTATTATCCTGCTTTTAGGTCTAAGGGCAGTATAAATGAACCGCAGCCCCAAGACGTTGTGTAGCTAGAAGCATGTCTTAATTGTGTGACCAGTTTAACGGGAAGAAGTGACCAAACCCAAGGACGGAGAAGGGCTGTGGCGCAGGGTTGTGTGGGTGGCTCTCTTCAGCTCTCCCACCTCCTATTTCTGATACATCCTGTGACTCCGTGTCCCTTCGACAGCTTCCCGAGGGCTGCTCTTTGCTGTAGGCTCCTTGTAAATCTTCATTCTCTCATTCTGATGCTATATTGGCTCAGGAGCTGGTAAAAGTTTGCCATCTGGATTGTGCCTTGGTTTACTCGCTAGGACTTGCTGGAGAGCAACTGCTCCTACTTTCAGAAGCCCACGATACCTCATCTAATAGTGTCTCTTCTTCCTTGGTATCTGGAATAGGTTTAGCCCAAGAGGGCATGCGAAGAAATGCCAGCTGAGAACTGCCCGTGCTTCAAACACTGCCTCGCAAACGGGCTGTTCTCTCCGGAGGACTCCAAGTGAGCGAGCAGGGAGGGAAGTGGAGCTGGTGCAACCTCACGTGACCTTTCTGTATTTCAGAAATTTCAAGCAGAAATATTTCAGGGTGGTTCAGGCAGTGGCCAGCACTGCTGTGGGCACCGGGCCTGTGGCCCTGGGCCACCTGAGAGCCCCAGCACAAGGGTGACCCACGAGGGTGGGCTCTGGTGCGGCCTGGACGCCAGAGGCTGAACGTGTCTCTGTCCAGAGGTTGTCCATGCTGCAGAAGGCCTTGCTCCTTTTTCAGTCCCATCTTTTAGAGGATCTCACTGGACTGACTTCTGACTATTCTTAATTCCAATGAATGTTTTTCTAGCTGTTATCTGGGGGACACTGGAATAGCAGGTGAAAGAGAAGCTCCACCATAGGTTGCTGAAGCCGGTGAGGTGCTGCTGGGCGCAAAGTGCCCCTTGTGGCACAGCAGCCACCAGGGCCACCAGCCTTCTCCACACAGTCCCTTTGCACAAGCAGAAAGTCTTTCCTCATACTGGCAAAGCTTTTCCACATTGCTTTCATATCTCGAAGATTTTTTGGAGACGTTTCTCAAGATAGCAGGTTCCAAAGGTGTCACCCCATCTCACCTGCTGAAACCTCAGAGCAGAGCTCGACTGATACAGAAAAAGGCAACCCGAGGCAATGGAGGGGGTGGTTTGTGCTCACCTGAGCTTTGGTCCTTCTCCTGCTGAGGAATTTCTGGGTCAGCTGAACCTTAGACAACTGTTTTGTCCTTCCTACAGAGCTGTCCATGGGTAAAAGCATCGTCGTAGTTTGCCTCCTTCCATTTTGCTGTTGCCCAGGTACTGCATTTACAGACATTATGAGCAGAGAGTGGTATTTTAATTTAACTTAATCCTCAGAAGCTAAAGAAAGCGGATTTATGAGCAAATTGATTTATGAGGAAATTGATCCTACAGAGACTGCTTGATCTGAGAGCTGCAGCAATGTGGCCCCATTAAGCTATGCATTTTCTGACATACAAGTACACAACTTTGTAAAAAATCATTTTTCTGTTTATCTAGACTTAAAATCCAGGTGCCAGCCCACACGCATCCATATAAAAAAAGACCCCAAACCAATTCTATTTCTTTTGACTCCAATCTGCTTCATTTTTTTTTCAGCCACATTCCTTTAAAATTTCTGTAATTTCTTACAGAGGCATCACTTTTTTCTGTTAACATATTCATTCAATATTTAGGGTCTCACAATATCTACATAGATGCTTTCAGATATTTTGAGAATTCTATAAATGGTGCTTTACCAGTACTCAAAGGGGTTCTATGTTTTATTCTATTATGTAGTGCATTTAATGTTTTATTTACTCACCTACAATGCACAGTATTAGCTATGTTCATCTGAATATCTATATGCGACTTCCATTCACTTACATATGCCTTAACAGAAATTGCAATAAATAGCCATTTCGTGTATATTAAAAATGTATATACAAATTAGAATCTTTAATTTTATAATTTATTAAATTTAAATGTCTGTGTCCTTTTGCAAAGTGTTTGACTTGTCCCTTTGCTTTTTTTTCATGGACATAACAGGGTGCAGATATGCTGGGAGTGGGGAGGAACAACACGGAGCTTTAGCCTCCAAATCAGCTCAATTTCCCAAACTTCACCTTGGGTAATTAGGAGTGGGAGGTACTTGCTGCAGAGTCCTATGTTCCTGTTGGACCATCCATGATTCAAGACCAAATATTATGAAGTGATCAGACCAAAACCTTGGACAATAACTACACAGAAATTCATCACACTTATTTAAACCCACGTGAGGTTCTCATCCCTTAATTTCTGCCCTGATCCGTGCTGGGTCACACAGCGTCTTTTTAAAAGACAATGTTATTTGGGCTCATCAGCTTGGGACTGATGACACATTTTACTTTACAGGGCCTGGTGATAAAATACTTGCTGCTTTCCATGAAATCCTTTTTGCATGTGCTTTCCTGCCCGAGCTGGGCTGCTTTTAAAACAACATTGAATCTCTGCCATCTAATAGAGTTTTGTTGCTTGCGGATGTGAAAGCTCCCACACGGATCAATCATTTGTGCTTAGCACACGCAGTGCTCCAAGCACTGCATGTCTTTGTGCAGGTAACTTCCCGCCTCAGCATTATCAGTACGAAAATGCGAGTTTAAACGCCCTGCTAAAACCCAGGTTTTGGTTTTTTACGTAGTTTCCGATCTGCAGCCGTGGCAAGGATCACATTGAGCAGCTTTGGGGTTCCTGAAAGTCTTTATGAAGCTGATGTTTTTGAGTCACCATCCCAAGGCCGGAATAAAAGCAGCGCTTGCTGGTGCCTGGCCGGGATCCCGCCTGCCGTTGCCTCTGGGGCCCAGTGCGGCCCAATACTCTGTTCTGATGGGTTATTCCCCCCACAGATGTGAGGTGTGGAGAGACATCAGCTCCCGGACACCCCGA